GTGTGGCTCAGTGGCTGCGCATCGAGCCATGCAATACTTACTTATTTCTGGTTTGATTCCCGGTCAGAGCACCTGCCCAGGTTGTGGGCCTGATCCCCAGTGGGGGGCATGCAGGAGGCGGCCAATCGATGTTCTCTCTCATCGATGTTTCTATCTCTCTCTCCTTCTCCCTTCCTCTCTCTCTCTCAAAATCAATAAAAGAAAAAAAATTTAAAAAAGAAAAAGAAAAATGTTAAGGAAAGAAAAAAAAAGTGTGTTTCTTTTTTTTTTTTTTATCCTCACCCGAGGACATTTTTCCATTCTTTGCTCAGGTAGAGTGGGAGGGAGAGAGAGGAACAGAGAGAGAGAGAGAAACACTGACGTGAAAGGAACACATCGAGTGGCTGCTACCCTCACGACTGACCAGGGCCGGGACAAACTGCAACCGAGGTACGTGCCCTTAGCAGGAACCGAACCCGGGTCTCTCAGGACCGCAGGCCGAGGCTCTAACCGCTGAGCCAAACTGGCCAGGGCAAAATTTTTAGTTTTTATTTTTTTATCCTCACCCGAGGACATTTTTCCATTTTTTGTTCAGTTAGAGTGGGAGGGAGAGAGAGAGAGAGAGAGAAACATCGACATAAAAGGGACACATTGAGTGGTTGCTACCCACATGACCCAACCAGGGCTGGGGACAAACTACAACCGAGGTACGTGCCCTTAGCGGGAACTGAACCCAGGTCTCTCTGGACCGCAGGCTGATGCTCTAACCGCTGAGCCAAACCGGCCAGGGCAAAAGTGTGTTTCAATAAACACCACAAGGCCCAGTTGTGAATATCGAATTCCAATACAATGACTCAGTTTTGTGTCAGAGACGGTGTCTGCACCTGCCTTTCAGGCCTCAGCACCGAATGACATCGCCGGGGATGTTCCCACAGCAGACAGTCTACAGAACTGTCACCTGCTTCTTCTCATTGCAGCGAAGGCCTCACACTCGGAAGTCTGCTCAGCTGGCTTGTGGTTTACCATGTGCACTAACCTCGGCTGTTTGCGTAGATGTGTGCCTCTGTCCTCACCTAGTTACTGCAGCCTGGGTCTCCCTCCCGAAGACGTCTCCTCACCCCCGGCTGCAATGGGGCTCAACGGTCTGGGCTTCGGGTCGCGGCCACGAAACTCGGACGATCTGCTGGCTTCTCTGGAAACTTCTCTCCCTTCTCAGCCCGAGTGGGGAAATCTTAACCTATTTCCCTTCGCTTGATTCAGATTCAGTGGCGGACAGAAGGTGTCAGACAGGTACGACACACCCGTCTGTAGGCGGGTCACCCCTCCGGCCTAACTGGGCACAGTTCCTCTTTCCCTCGGTCACGGGGTTTGCCTCTCCCTCGCCCTGCAGTTACTCCAAGTCTCCTCACTCTCAGGTTTTGCCTTTCAACTTGCTTGTCAGGTTTGTCATGTCCAGAGTACACCAAGAATGCCAGCCTGTCCCACGCAGACCCCTGGACATCGCCCTGGTCATCGCCCTTGCCACTTCCCAGGGACAGCAGGCTGACCTGGACTCGCAGAACCCCTCTTCCCTGCATAGAGGCTCCTCTCCTTTTTGCACCCCCTTCCTCGGGCCGACTGGGGGAGCCTCTCGGCGGGGTCAGCAGGTCTGCGCCCTTGGCAGCAGGAAGTAGTTACAGAAGACAGAGGCCTTTACCTGTTTCTCCTTTGCATGAGTATAAAGAGGCTCCATTTTTGTCAGGGGGAGTGACAATGTTGCAATAACCCGGTTACTATTCAACAGGGAAGAGTGTAGGAGACACCGAATGACACAGACCTGCCCTTCACACAGCCTTGCAGAGGGCTCCAGTTTACACTCCAGGTCCATCCCCGCAGACTGGCGGGGGAAGGAACTGGACAAAGGCGAATTAGACACGTGTCCAGTAAGGTGTGGGCAATGTGGGAAGGTGCCCACCTGTCAGTCACACTTAGAAACAGGTAATTGGCCAGAATAGTTATGGCCACTGCAAGGGCACGGACTCTAAATATTTAAGCTCCTGAACAAAGTAAGTCCTCACTCTTGGCCTTTGGCCCTGTTGCTCTCTTGGGACTCCCATTTTAGGGGGGGTGTCCCCTGTATTCAGTCATATGGCTCACGGTCATGTAAGACCTATACAATAGGTTAATGGACGGCAGCTAGTCTGATACTGCACTGGACTCGGCTGCAACATGGAAAAAAAAACACATAAAAAAACCTTTGGCCACTGGCCCCGTTTCTAGCTCTGCTACCGCCTCAGCCACCCCTCTTTCAGGGCTGGTGTGAGGGATGTGGAACTTCCAGCCTGAGGAATATAAAGCTACTATGTAGCACATTTACCCGTGTTGATGACTGACTTTCACTTTTGCCCCTTTTCCTATCCTCAGTGCAGAAACCGCCTGTAAAGCTCACAGAATTCTCCAGTGAAATACGTCCACCACGTCTTCAGCTTGCTCTCCCCCAGCAGGGAGTGTGGACACCCCGCGGTGCACATTTTCACGGCTGCTGCTGCGGGGAAAGTCCATTCGCCTCTTTTGCCGTCACATCTGTGACCATGTCCGCTCCCCACTTTCACCCAATTCAGTGGCATTTTAGCTACATGTCTAGATAAGCACCAACCTATAGTTCAGAGCACAGGCACACAAGGGACTTGCCCAAGCAAGCCCTTGGAATGGTCTCTGCTTCAACGTCCTGATCTCTAACAAAGGGACAACATTAGTACTTGTCTCAGAGGGTTGTTGCAAGGACAGAGTTAGTGGAAATATGTAACATACTTAAAAGAATGGCAGGCCCACAGGAAAATGAAACACATATTTTCACCGTCATTATTATTATTTTAGTACTGTTAGTAGATATTTCTTCTTCTCTAGAACCCCAAACTAATGGGACAAATTAGAAAAATATCTCAAAGGGTTCGATATCTGCTACCTTAATGTATATTTCTCCTCCCTCCTTCCTCACCTCTATTTAAGAAAATGGCCGTGGGGTGGGTGGCGGGGGCCCGGGGGTGGGAGGTAGGAGAACATCAGTAGCTGGGGGAGAAGAAGTTTAACCCTAAGGAGGAAAGTAGAGGAGAATGAGATTGTCTCTGAGCTTCACTCTGACGGAAGAAGCAACATGTTTTATTAGATTGTTTTGCCTTTTACGCTGAGGCTGTTAGAATTTTATAACAAGGTTCTGAAATTGTAATGATTTACACTGAATCTAGTCGTCTCTATGATGCTGATCATCACGATTATGCTATTAAAATTTTTTCTTTCTTTATTGATTTTAGAAAGAGAGGAAGGGAGAGGAAGAGAGAGGTAGAAACATGGATGAGAGAGAACACTGATTGGCCGCCTCCTGCACGCCCCCCACTGGGGATCGGGCCCACAACCTGGGCATGTGCCCTGACGGGGAATCGAACTGGCGACCTCTTGGTGCAGGGTCGACACTCAACCACTGAGCCACACCGGACAGGCTAAAATTTTGTTTTCAATAATGCAAGAGCAGAAAAATCTTTCCAGAAGAAATTCATACAAGAAGATGGCCATGTTACTTAAGAAAATAATACAAACTAGTTAAGAAGGGGGCGTTTTGATAATTCTCAAGGGCACACCCTTTGATTCTGTGTTCTATACTTGAAGCTCTCAGGCAGGCAAAACTTAACCGAAACCTGCAAGTTGTCCGTTTCCCCGACACTGAGTAGAGACGTAGGCCACTTACCTGCAGAATTGTAACAAGGAGTTTTCTAGCTGGCGGTGGTAATGAGAAGAAAAAACACTGAACCTAAGAAAGTAACTAGGTGGGAAGAGAGGAACCAAACAGCTGACACGCGCGTGTGCACAACCAGCGAGTACACATGATAGTCGGGGGAAGCAGGAGAGGGTGGGAGGAGCAGGGAGTGGGCAGTCATTGGGGGGGGGGGGAGCATCTGTGATACTTTCAACAAAGATAAAAAAAATTAAACAGAGCAAATGTAAAAAACAAAACAAAACAAAACAGCAAAAGACAGTATGTTTAGCTGAGCATTTCATGGTAAGATTGGGCTGGAGAGGTGAACATAGGGGAGGACCGGATTTGCATTTGAAATGTCCTGGAGCCCAGCAGGTGTGGCTCAGTGGTTGAGTGTGGACCCACGCACCGCGGTCGCTGGTTTGGTTCCCAGTCAGGGCACATGCCCAAGTTGTGGGATGATCCCCAGTGGGGGTCGTGCAGGAGGTGGCCAAGCAATGTTCTCATCTATGTCTCTCTCTCTCTCTCCCTCTCTCTCTCAAATCAATAAAGAAAAAAAAATTAAAATGTCCTTGATACACTGGAGAAGTGGGCGGATGCAACAGGGTAAGGCTTACGCAGGTAAGTGCAGGTTTCACTAGAGCAGGCTCTCTGGGGTGTCTACATAAAAGATGAAAAGTGCGTCAGAATCTATACCTTGAAAACGACTTAGTAATTGGATTTTTATAATATCACAGCAGATTCAGAGTGTTGCTAATATATATATATATATATATATATATATATATATATATATATATATTATTTGTATACATATATTTATTCTCACCCAAGGACATTTTCCCATTGTTGTTCAGATAGAGTAGGAGGGAGAGAGAAGAAGAGAGAGAGAGACAGAGAAATATTGACGCAAAGGGACACATCGAGTGGCTGCCTGCCGCAGACCCCAACCAGGGCCAGGGATGAATCACAACCGAGGTCCGTGTCCTTGGCTGGAATCAAACCCACGACTCATTGGTCCGCGGGCTGATGCTCTAACCGCTGAGCCAGACCGGCCAGGGCAAAACAAACAAACAAACAAACAAACAAACAAACAGGTATATTTTCACACACTGTTCCCGAAAGAGACGTGGACAGTCACACCACCCATCCCCGTGACCTGGTCCCCCTTGTCCCCGTGACCTACACCCCCGACACGGAGGACTGGAATTGGGGTTTAATCCGAGTCTGTCTGACCGGACAGACCGGCTGCTTCATCGGTGCCTGCAGTGCAGACGCTCGAAGCCCGTACCTGTCCGTCGGTCCCCACGGTGCCCCCGCAGTCGGTGAGGAGCTCCGACATGTCGTAGTAGCTCACGAATTCCCACAGGCAGGCCTCCAGGTTCAGGTTGCGGTAGAAGCGCAGGGCGCGGGGGCCTCGGAGGGGCGAGCTGTACTGGTAGGGGTACGTCTCCGCGGCGCTCCCCGGGCCTCTGGTGGCCTCTGTGAGGAAGCCGTGCTGGGTCGTCACCTCGGTGTAGTCCAGGAGGTTGGAGCACCTGTGGGTCCCCGTCCTCGTGCCGTCGGGGCTGAGGGTGAGGTCGAAGTTGGAGAGCTCTCGGGTGGAGATGACGGGGAGCATGCCTGCGAGGGATGGCCGGTTACTCGCGTGCCAGCAGCCAAGGGCCTAGGGCGCTTGGTCCCTTCTGTCTCGTGGGAGGAAAAGCCATACAGTGCTGTGGGGCCGTGATTGTCAAAGGGGTTTCCTCGCACCCCTGGGGGTCCCGGGAAATTTTCAGGAGATCTATAACAGTAAAACTATTTCCATAGCAATAGAAAGCTTACTACATGGTACATAGTAAGATACGATTGGACCCTTCCGCTCCTAATCTCCCACTGCGGTGGGTCCGTTGTCGCCTGACGGGTGTCTCCTCGACCCTGGGCCCCCCGACGCACGTGCAGAATGAAGCTATGGACAGAGAGGTCAGACACGCGCCGACGACCCGCTGGAAAGGGGCACAGATTCCCGTCAACCTAGCCACGCGCGTTCGGGTTGTGAAATAGGCCCGTGTCTGTGGGTAGACAGCCCTCTGCAGGCCCGGAGAGGACCTAGTGTTTCCTCTTCCCGAGCCACTTACAACATAAGGAACAACCAAGCAGTAACGGTTGACTTCAGGCATGAAGTGAATTGAGGGGAATACAACTTGAAAATGCCTTCTGTCGCTCTGGCCGGTTTGGCTCAGTGGTTAGAGCATCGGCCCGCGGACCAGAGAGTCCGGGGTTCAGTTCCTGCTAGGGGCACGTACCAAAAAAAAAAAGAAAAGAAAAGAAAGAAAATGCCTTGTGCAAATGGGAAAATGGTCAGAAAGTGTGGTCAAGTTATTGACTCACAGATTCTGGTCATACTTCCATGTCCAGAGAGAATGAATGCAAACATAATACTAGTTGCATTTTACATTGTATCTTACTCGCTGGGACATGTCTTTGTTAGTGCAGTTAGCATCGGGGAGGATGTCGAGACCTACTGCTAGGAAACAGCACCCACACGTCGAAGGCCCTGCAGAACGCCAGCTACAGCACGCCCCAGGTAGAAAGCCCCGAAGACGCACTGGTGCTGTTTTACTAAAGTTGGCGTGTTAACCAACGTTTCGTTCCATCGTCCTCGGACGTGTGTTACGTTCATCTACCTGGAGACACTGCTTCAATGGTCAGATCTTTGAAAACTGAGCGCAAAGAGCGCAGAGACATTTGAAAGAAACGGAAAGACTTGGCGCTCAGGTTGCACATTGGGGGCTTATTGTCTGCTAGGCTGTGGGCTGTGCGCAGGGGTCACCCACCGTCGGCGTGCGGCATGGTGACCGTGAGCCTCATGAGGTTGGCGTGCTCGGGGTCCTCGGGGCCCAGGTAGCGCAGCTTGGCGGAGAAGGGCTCCACTCCCACGGAGCCCGGAACTCGAGGCTGGCAGAGACCTGGAAGGGAGCACAGTCAGGCTACAAGCAGGTAATGAGCAACAGCGGCAGGACGCGTGTAAACAGGCGGCGTTGTCTCTCCGTGCAGTTCACCATGCTCGCTGGACGGAGGCCGGCCGGACAGGCCGCGCCCTGCGAGTCACAGCAGTGTAGCGGCTACTTCTTCACCTCCTGGGTATCTCTACGCAGTTGGAGGAAAATATAGCTGCTCAGTGTGGTTTTATACATGCTGAACATTCTAGGTCATGAGTAAATTCACAAAATTGTTTTAATAAAAAATGTAAGTATTTTCATACTTCAGGATGTTTTAACAGTAAGGATGATTGAAAGTCAATAGGAAAAAAAAGTAAGTATAGTTTCATGAAGCGAATGGGATTTCACCCTAGAATAATATTCTTATCACTAGTTATAAAATATACATTATTTATAAGGTAATGAAACTAATACAAAAACTAACATCTCTTCAGAATCTGAGAGCAAAATGTATAATTTTCTCTATATATGTGATTTCTTACAGTATGTGTATTGTAAATTATAACTCATTCTCTCCCTCTCTCTCTCTTTCACACTCAAGAACTTTGACATGAAAATCTTCCTCCAATATTTGTTTTAAGAGAATTTTGATGTTTTCTTTTTAACATCATGGAAGAGATCAAGATGCTGAATTACAATTTCAAGACGTCTAGGAACACGTGATTTCCTTTCTATTTGTATGAAAAAGGGAAACTAGGTATTTAGTAGGACAAGAATACAATCAGAGGCGGTCCTCAGCACCTGGGCTATTTTATCACTAGGACTCATTTTTTTTTTTTTTTAATCCTCACCCGAGGATATTTTTTCCATTTTTTTGTACAGATAGAGCGGGAGGGAGGGAGAGGAAGGGAGAGAGAGAGAGAAACATCGACGTGAAGGGACACGTCGAGTGGCTGCCACCCGCACGACCAACCAAGGCCGGGGACAAACTGCAACCGAAGTACGTGCCCTTAGCGGGAACCGAACCCGGGTCTCTCCGGACCGCAGGCCGACGCTCTAACTGCTGAGCCAAACTGGCCAGGGCTCACTAGGACTCATTTTAAGGCATTGTTTAATTTTTCTTCTTTCGGTACCAACTCAATAGTTTGGTATTAAGGGAAACTTAAAAGCCATATATTTTCATCCTAATAAGAGAGCATATTTACTATACATGCCGTCAATAAATACTGATCCTACTGTATCATGGTGGAGGTGGTACATTTAACATTTCTTTATACAGCAAGTAGACTTCTAAAGTATTGTATGCAAATATAAATTTTAGAAATAGAATCTTATAAATAGACATTTACTTAAACATCTATTTTAAAATATTTTCTGGCTTTTTTTAGCACCAGCTGCTCATGGCCTCCTGCTCCTCCCGCTGGGCCGGCCACCGATGCCGGACGTTCTTACGAGGCGGCGGATACTGACCACAAAGAACAGTCTGAACTGGCTCAAGATTTGGATGATGTTGAAGAAGTAGAAGAAGGAAAAACTGGTGAAGAGACAGAAATCAAAAGGTGTCAGCTGCCTGTTTTGATGATGCGAAATCCTCAGATGCTTGCAGCCCTGGAAGGACTGGATGGTCCGGGAGGATCACCGGCAGGGTACAGGAAGCTGCGCGAGGTACTTAAAAGACCAGTGGATGCTCAGAACGACCTTCAAGTTAAATGTGCACAGAGAGAAGCCAAGTTCTAGAAGGAAGTTCATCATCTTGAAAGAAGGTACGCTGTTCTCAATGAGCCTTTCTTTGATAAGCGACTGGAGATCATTAATGTAGTTTATGAACCTACAGAAGAAGAAAGTGAATGAAAACCAGAGGAAGAAGATGACATTTCGGAGGAGCTGAAAGAAAGAACCGAGGTTGAAGAAGACAAAAAGGATGAAGGGAAACAAGACCCGAGGGACATTCCTGGATTTTGGTTGCCTGTTTTGAAGAATGTTGACTTGCTCGGTGAGATGGTTCAGGACCATGATGAACCTATTCTGAAAAGCACTTGGGAGATGTTCGAGTGGTGTTCCCTTCCTCTCTATCTAAACTCAATAAAGAAAAAAAAGAAAAAAAGAAAAAAGGAAGTGTAAAAACCAAAGACAAATGGTGTAATTTTTTTTTTTAAAGAAAATTTAAGTTGTATTCTCAGATGCCTGTGAGTTTTGTTTTAGAATTTCACTTTGAACCCATTGAATATTTCACAAATGAAGGGCTGACAAAGACATACAGGATGAGGTCAGAGCCGGGTGATTTGATCCCTTTTCTCTTGATGGACCAAAAATTATGAGTTGCACAGGGGGACAGAGAGGTTGGAAAAAGGGCAGGACTGTTACTTTGAAGACCTTTGAAAAGAAACAGAGAAGGGACTTTGGACAGTTTGTACTGTGACCAAAACCGTTTCCAGTGACTCGTTCGGTAACTTTTTTTGCCCCTTCTGAAGTTTCTGAGAGTGGAGGTCTCAACGGTGACGCTGAGCTCTCCTTGCTGCAGACTTCGAAACTGGTCACTTTTTACGTGAGCGTATAATCCCAAATCAGTGATGTAGCTTACTGGGGAAGCTACTGAAGAAGACAATGAAGATGATGATGATGACGACGATGATGATGATGACGAAGGGGAAGGAGAAGATGAAGAAAATGGTCCAAACAAGGATCAGAGTCCAGCAGAGAGCAGGAGGAGGTATGTGGCCTGAGGTAACCTGCCCTGGTCCGCCTTCCGTTTCCTTGGAAAGGATGGATTTTCATCCTTTGACAAGTTCACTTCAAGTCTGTTGTTGTTGTTTGCTTGCTTGTTTCTGGTTTTGCAGCCTAAGATTAATTTTGTACTAATCCAGGCAGAAGTGAAACCCTAGCTTGAATGAAGTATTGTGCCCAGTTTACCATCATGTTGGAGAAAAGGGTGCCAACTTTGGAAGAGATGGACTGCATCTAATAAGAAAGTGTAAACCCCGCCCTTGTGGCTCAGTGGTTCAGTGTTGACCCTGCACCACGAGGTCGCCGGTTTGATTCCCAGTCAGGACACATGCCCAGGTTGTGGGCCGATCCCCAGTGGGGGGCGTGCAGGAGGCAGACAATTGATGTTCTCTCTCATCGATGTTTCTCTCTCTCTCTCCTTCTCCCTTCCTCTCTCTCTAAAAGCAATCAAGAAAAAACCGAAAGTGTAAAAAACAAAGACAAATGGTGTATTTTTTTTTTAAAGAAAATTTAAGTTAAGTTGTATTTCCTTTGGTTGGAATGAGAGAGGGCCCTGCTTAAAGAATGAGTATATTGTTTACCTAGGCTTTGCTTTACTGTCTGTTAAAGTGGGCAGTACTGTTTACAAACTTCTTCACACGCGCTGGGCACATTAAGTTAAATGACACGAAATGTTTTTCAACCTTATTAAAAGCTCAAAAATGTCCTCTTATTTGCACCACAAGTATGAGCTTCAGCCTTTTATTCTACCGGGTTTGATGAACCGGAAAACAAAAGTCAAGTAGTTTATTCTGCACCTGGTCGGGCTCATAGTGTGGCTCCTCTTTGAACAGAAGTGGATGGACAGCCAACTATTTCTAAAGGTTCAAGGGTTGTTTTTATTTATTTATTTTATTTTTTAATTTTTTATCCTCACCTGAGGACATTTTTCCATTTTTTTGTACAGATAGAGTGGGAGGGAGAGAGAGGAAGGAAGAGAGAGAGAGAAACATCGACGTGAAAGGGACACATCGAGTGGCTGCCACTCGCATGACCAACCAGGGCCGGGGACAAACTGCAACCGAGGCACGTGCCCTTAGCGGGAACCGAACCCGGGTCTCTCCAGACCGCAGGCTGACGCTCCAACCGCTGAGCCAAACTGGCCAGGGCTCAAGGGTTGTTTTTAGACATCTTAGTTACCATCGTATTATAGAGATCATGGCACTAAAATAGAAATAAGACCGATTTTTGGGGGGAGAGGGGTGCTGTTAAATTTGAGATTGTAGAGTCACGTCTGAAATATCTCAGGCTAATTCCTGTTACTTGTGGTGAACTTGAACGTTTCGGCTCTGAGGGTAGACTAATTAGATCGTGACTGGAGAACAGCTGGGAGTTTTTGCTGGTAATAAAATAACATGAGCTTCACTTTTAGAAGCGATAGAGCTTCCATTTTGAACATGGAAATCCTTAACCAATTGTAGTAGTTTATAGGGAAAAAAATGCCATAAAAGCACCTGCTGTTTTTCCTCTTTATTTTCAAAATTATTAGACATTCTGTGCTAATATTCTTTTGTACCCATAGCTCATTTGAACCCAGCTGAACTTAAAGAAGTTAATCTAAAGATAGAATCCAGCCCTGGCCGGTTTGGCTCAGCGGTTAGAGCGTCGGCCTGCGGTCCTGAGAGACCCGGGTTCGGTTCCTGCTAAGGGCACGTACCTCGGTTGCAGTTTGTCCCCAGACCTGGTTGGTCGTGCGGGTGGCAGCCACTCGATGTGTCCCTTTCACGTCGATGTTTCTCTCTCTCTCTCTCTTCCTCTCTCTCCCTCCCACTCTATCTGTACAAAAAATGGAAAAATGTCCTCGAGTGAGGATTAAAAAAAAAAAAAAAAAGATAGAATCCATTTTTAATGAATTTTAAGTAGCAGAACCACAATTTTCTTTAAGAAATAGCTGTTGTCAAAGTGAGGGAGTGGATCCTGTTTCACCTGGCTATGTAAGGGTGATGTGGTTTGCAGAGGAATTATCCTCTTAATAAAGTTGGGGTTTCCAGGGATATTAGTGTTCATCTGTGCCATCGCTCCAGGCCCCAGATGGTTCTATCCCATTCAAGAAATTTGAAACATGTAATTGGAAGTCCTGAATAAAATTTTCATTTAATTTTATAAAATGCACTGGTGATGTTTTGGGTGGTTTTTTAAATAAAAATGACTACTTTTTTTTTTTTTGTAAGAGCAGAGAGTAGGGGTGTTCGAGTTGGCTATTTGGTGCTTAGACCATGGTGGCCTGTAAATCTGCATAATTTTGAATTATGAGCGACCTTGCAAACCCTGCTGAAGGGAGCTTGTTGCTGGAAAAGCTAGAAAGGGAGAAACTCCATAGTTCTACTGCTTTCACTGAGCTAACACTTTTGAGATACACCCAGTTCTCAGTTTCCTCTAGCCCAGCACTGGCTGCCAAGGTCTAATTTTCTCCGCTTTATAAAGGGTAAAATCCAACATGGCCACATACAAATTAACACTTTGAAAACTTTTGTTGTTGTTGTTGCCATTTTACGATCATTCAAATATGAGAAGCAAGCGGAGAGTGGAGTTCCATAGATCAGTGGGCTTTCGGTTTGACACGGATGTCTGCAAGTTAAACATGGAATTTCCCATGATTCCGTCCTCTAGTTCACCGAAACAGTATGAGTATTTCTGTGACAAAAATATCTTAATTGTATAGAACTGGCTTAGAGTATACTTAAGAAAAATGGATTTCTACCTCTGTTTCCTTTTCTAGCTCATTTAATAATAAAGACACCTGAAAAGTAACATTAGCTTTGATAGAAATATTTTTATTATTCTGTAAAGAGGTCAATGACACTGATTGACATATAAGCCCTGAATAAATTGTATATTACTGCTGCTTTTAAGACTATGACTTTGTGGGTTTATCTGAGTTGCAGGTCATTCCCATTATTAAATATATAATGTTATGAGTTATTCTTTGTGAAAGCATCATAACATGCAGAAATATTAAGACTAATTATTATTATAATATTCTTTGAATGTTTGGTTTCAGGGCGTGGTTTAGAATTGGAGTCCATTTTTATGGGTTACTCTTATAAAAATGTCAGCCTTGATAAGCCAGATGGTATTTTAAATGTACAGAATGAATGGACACCCTAGAGGAAGCACACATTCTTTATAGGAACCTTAGAAAAGAAAAATCATGCAAATCATGCGAAAAATTTTAAATTTTCACTGTATATTGGTAATTGTAAACTGGGGCTTGTTTTGAAAATTTGTATTCATAATTTTGGTAATTTGTTACTTAAATCACTAAGTAGTAGCTGAAAATTAAATGCTGAAATGAACTGAGATTAATTTTTAGCTACATAGTGACTTTGTATACTGGTTAAAAATCCAGTTATCAAACTGTGACTCGGATAATATCTTAGTCACGTTCGTGGACTAAGAACTATTACACTGATTTCAGAGAGATGGAAGCATCTTTGTTCAAGTGTGAAATTATTGAAAGATAAGTGTTTAGCTATCCATGAGAAATTCTGATCGGTCTATGCAGTTATATTAAAAAATAAATACTGCCATCAACAAATTATCAAACAACAAGTGCTGGCGAGGGTGTGGAGAAAAGGGGACTCTAGTACACTGCTGGTGGGAATGCAGACTGGTGCAGCCACTATGGAAAACACTATGGTGTTTCCTCAAAAAATTAAAAACAGAACTGCCATTTTACCCAAGTGTCCATTCCTAGTGTTCTAGGACTATATCCTAAGAAGCCTGAAACACCAATCAGAAAGAAGATATGTACCCCCATGTTCATAGCAGCACTATTTACAATAGCTAAGATCTGGAAACAGCCCAAGTGTCCATCAGTAGATGAATGGGTAAAAAAGCTGTGGTACATGTACACAATGGAGTACTATGCAGCTGTGAGAAAGAAAGATCTCTTATCCTTTGAGATGACATGGAGGAACCTGGAGAGTATCATCCTAAGTGAAACAAGCCAATCAGAGAAAGACAAATGTCACATGATCTCACTTATTTGTGGAATACAATGAACAAAACAAACAGATGAACAAAGTAGACCCAGAGCCATAGAAGTAGGGTCCAGGCTGACAGACCTCAGAGGAGAGGGGCGGGAGGGAGGGATGAGATAAACCAAAGAACTTATATGCATGAAGCATAACCAGTGGACAGAGACAACGATGCTTGGCGGGGGGCGGGATAGGGAGAAGGGTGTCAATGGGGGAAAGAGGAGAAACATCTGTAACAAAAATAAATAAATTAATTAGAAAAAGTAAACATTTCTCTTCAGAGTGAAGGACTGGTTTAAAAGGGGGTCTCCTGTCTTTTCACTGTTATTTTTAAGCATATCATATTCTCCACCCCCAAGGGTCAAGTCCCAGTCCTAAACACCTCCTCCTTGTAATAACGAGGCCTGGGCACTCACGCACCCCTCTCTACCTGGACGGCACTTCCCGTCAGTCCCCAGCGGACGCCTCCCCATGCAGCTGGGAGGGCGCGGGCATTGCGCACGAGCCAGCTTCTCCAGAGCTGACCCGTCCTCCGCGTCATTTCCTGACTGTCTCACCCTCCTGCTCTCCTGCCTCTCGTTTCTCTGCTTGTAGTTCCCCGAACTGCCCCTGTTTCTCCCACGCTTCCCTGAGCCATCACTCATAATTCCCCCCGTTTTCAACACTCACATTACGCATCTCCTGCTCAGCAAAACCTCTCCTGACCCATTCCACGTGGAGCAGATCACTACCACCTCTGTATTTCCATGCCCTGTCCAGTCTGAACGTCGTGCCCTCACCTTGAGTATCCACTCCTTGAGGACAGGCATCCTGCCTTTTTAAAAAAGTGTTGATTGTGAGCATGAAGCACGAACATGCCAGCTAAACGCCTGCTATATGAGAGGTGCTTCACAATGTGGAACGAACGCATCTTTGTTTCCTGCCCTGGCCGGTTTGGCTCGGCGGTTAGAGCGTTGGCCTGTGGTCCGGAGAGACCCGGGTTCGGTTCCCGCTAAGGGCACGTACCTCGGTTGCAGTTTGTCCCCGGCCCTGGTTGGTCGTGCGGGTGGCAGCCACTCGATGTGTCCCTTTCACATCGATGTTTCTCACTCTCTCTCCCTTCCTCTTTCTCCCTCCCATTCTATCTCTACAAAAAATGGAAAAATATCCTCGGGTGAGGATAAAAAAAAAAAATCTTTGTTTCCTAATATTTTTAATGGATTTAAGTCCTTGTAGCGTATTATGGAACACGTGGGACATTAGGAAAGAGTCAATAAGCAGAAATTAGACAGTTGTAACGTTCCGGGGTACCCCAGGGACCCGCAGGGGAGAACAGCCGGGGGGCGGCTACCTTCCTCCTTGCTGATGGTGACGATGGGGCTCAGCAGCTCCAGGCCCTCGCTGCCGTGGGCGGTGACGGCACGGGCTGCGCACTGCACCCTGGAGCCGGGCTGGAAGTATATGGAGTCCAGCGTGATCATCTTGGACGACGTGAAGTAGGTGTCGAAGTCCATTTCTCGCATGGGGCTGGTCACGCCGTCCGGGCCCGTGGGCGCGCTGATCAGCCATCGGTACCGAGTCAGCGTGTCGTTGATGTGCTCACTTGCACAGATGGAGCCTGTCCGGTCGTAGTTGGAATATTTCGGGTTGCAGGCCTGTGGAGAAGCGAGACCGCGTTGGGGCCACCGTGGACACGCACAGGGCACTCACCCCTCTGACGCTGTCTCGCTGAGGCGCCCCCTCCCTCCTGGGATTCCTGCCGCCCCCAGATGTTGCTTCCCGCCGCCCCCAGATGTTGCTTCCGCCCGGCGAGCTCTCGGCTTGCGTTTCAGACGGCAGTCAGACACTCCACCTCGGCGACACAGTGGACGTGCGGCTCATTTCCTTACCCCTGGAACCCTCAGTCACCCACAGAATGGTGGCACCCCAGTTCCGCTCTCCCTTCCTTGGCACCTCCTTCCCTTCCTCCCTCCGTTCTCTCATTGTGTGAACTTGGCTGATCCTTTTGCAATGTGTCTGAAATCGCTCCCTCTGCATTCCCAGCATTGCCCCCCGAATGCAGGGCCGTTCTGGTCGGGGTCACTCGGTGCCGCCACGGTCACCCCAGCACACCGGTCCCCGCCTGCCGGTCCTCTGCACGGAACCCCTGCGGGACACCGCAGACCGCTGCAGGGGCACAGTGGTGACCCCGCCTCGCTCACGCAATAAGCCCTTGCTGTGAGCTGGTTTGCGCAGGTCACTGTTCCAGGACTGCTCTGCTATAAAAATAAACAGGTCCCAGTGTTGGCTCACAAGGAGCCTGTAAGGTCGAGTCAGGAGCAGGGAAATAGAAATGTAACGATAATATGCCATTTTTTGCCCTGGCTGGTGTGGCTCAGTTGGTTGGAGCATTGGTCCATAGACTGAAAGGTTGAGGGTTTGATTCCTGGTCAGGGCACATACCCCGGATGTGGGTTTCACCCCCAGTCAGGGTGCACGCAGGAGGCAACTGATCGATGTTTCTCTCACGTCGATATTTCTCCCTCTCCCTCCCCCTCTCACAACAGGAGAAATAATATGCCATCTCCTTATGCTACTCTTCCAGATGTGGCTTGAGATGCAGTCACTGCTTCCCGGGATGCACCCCCCTTTCCTGACTGTTCTCTTAAGCAGCTGAGATTCCACCAGCCGCCCCGAACTTCCCTCGCCCGGGGAGCCGCGTTCTCCTCAGGGTACGGGCCACATCTGGACCCACAGGAACTGATTCTCATGTTTGCCTCTTTTTTAATTTCCTTGAGTGCAGAGATCAGCCCTTATTTATTCCTCTGTCAGTGACAGACTCCAAGACAACATGAAATAACACATCATGTGCACATAGTGAATTAGCCTTGGCTGGATACGGGGAGGAACCTGGGAGCTTCATGCGATTCATGTTATATCTTCCTTCCCAAAGTTCCAAGCTTGTCGTATTTCCCCACGTTTATTTCACCAGGTCGAAGCCAAAACTATATCTCTTGAGCTCTAATCATTTTAAATAATCATCTCAGTGTTCCTGTTTCCAACTCACTGTGATGCAGATGACCGGGTAGCCAGACGGGGGTGCGGCTCGCTCTCTGGCGCCGGAAGTGTCATCGTACATCAGCAAGGACACGATCTGAGGCACCGACGGGAACGTGACGTCGGCCATGCTGTTCATTTCTTCTATGTACACAATGGCTTTGGTCACCTAGTGGGAAGATCATGACCTGCGATTATTGAAATGTTTGACTCCCTGGGGCCCCGTTACACGGAACAATGCCGTGATGCTTGGCAAGTCCCTGGCTTCATTACAACGAAGCTGTCACACTCAGGGACCCAGAGTGACAGGCCCAGCGTGGTTTGTTCCACTCGACCCTGGCACCTTGGTCGTTTCTAATGGTACCAGGGGAGGGTCCCTGAGCTCAGGGCAGCCTGGTTGGCCAGGGGTCCATGCGGTATTTGGACTCTACATTTTTTTTCTCCAAATTGTGATGAGAGCAGCTAACTAGGTCTTGGGTTGTGAGGTAGAAGATCCAAGAAACAGTCAATTAGCTGATAGTGGAGATAGCTAGAGGACACCCCGAGAGAGGGGGGACCTAGTGGTTAGCGCCGGGGTGGGCCATGCCACAGTGGGCGCTAGGATTACAGCGAAGCTTGAGATGGGCAGAGGTGAGGTGGGCTGAGGCTGGGGAGAAGCTGAGGCACGACAGGAGAGAACCCAGCGGACATGTCCTGCTGGTAAGGCGGCCAGAACACCTTGCTGACAGTTTGTCTTAGCTCCTGAACAACCTTCCAATATCCAACCATCAAAGCTTCCAGATCCATAGTCCTAGGTGCATTCTGAAAAGAGACTTTATCACTCGAGGTGATTTGAGTGCATCTCTGTTCCTTTCACTCAAAACTGTTTAATACAATCATGCTCCATAAACATAACAGCCAAAGACTAATTTTCACGTGATCCAGGCTTAGAGAAAGATTTTCTGCCCGCACTTCTTGAATTTTAAATATGCCTTTAATAAAGCAAGGCACCGTAGCAGAAACGTCACCAAGCAGTACAAGTCACAAAAGGATAATTGATACCTAAGGAACAAAATCTCCCTCATTTGATCTCATACCAATAGTGAAACAAATAATGAAAGAAACAGAGTAAACCTAAGCATAGATATTACATATTGGGAGGTTCCTAAGATAATTTAGTTTTAAACATTATTTTAGGCCCAGCCGGTGTGGTTCAGTGGGTTTGGCACCGTCCCGGGCACGGAGAGGTCCCAGGTGGATTCTGTCAGGGCACCTGCCTGAGCTGCAGGCTGGGTCCCCAGCAGGGGGCGTGCAAGAGGCAGCCAACAGACCATTTTCACTCTCCCTCTCCCTCTCTCTAAAATCAATGAAAACATATTTAAAAAATTTCTTTTAGGTCTAAAGGTAAAACATATATGTAAATGTTTATCTTAAAGCAAATTTGGTTGCTGATACGATATAAATTAAGTAAACAGAAACAGGAAGAGTTAGAACTGCAGCCCTGTGGTCACTGAGGCTCAGCACCCACTTAAGAAAGCCGGCTGGGAAGGGGGGGGTTTTGAAGACTAGCCAACGATTTTGTGGATTAAAATGTGTCTTTTAACGAGTGGTTGTAGTGAGCTCACAGTCTCTTCTGTGTGCAGAGACGATGCTAACTCTCCGGAGAGGAATTCTAAATTCTAGGGGCGCATGCCGGACGCAGTGACTTGTCTTTGAGCTTTTACAAATATGATTTTTCAAACAAAGACGTGACTTTCTGGACGACAATCCAATGGGAGCAAAACGTAGTTGGGAGCCCAAGGGCCTACGGCTCTGTCCTTTATGTGAGGCGTGTCCAGAGTCCCGCTGCTCACGCGCCACGCGACACTCATGCATGTTCCCCGAGGAATCTGTGCCCGCGGGGGCTGCTCACCTGGGTCTCCGCCACCATGTTCTCGTCCGGCCTCAGGTGCACCGTGAAGGCCTCGCGCATCTCCCGGACCCCGTCGAAGAGCACTTCAATGTCAACGGTGTGCTGGGTCTCTCCCTCCTTAAACTCAATCTCTACAGGCGCAAAACCACACAGTTAAATCTTTTGCATACGGACATGAGACGTGTTTGCTCGGCCCTTTGGATGGTGACTGACACTGTGACCAGCTCATGCGTGTGTGTGAACGAAATGGAGTAAAACGTTTTAAAAAATCACCTATTCTCACTCAATTCTTGACGCTCTGATATTCTCTGTTCTGGTCCATTCTATCCGGAAGAAAAATGTAGTCGTAAGCGACTAAGTTTGTTTTGGGAACCTCAGTTTGGAAAAACTGCTGAGTTATGGAGAGGACAGTCAACAGTTCTAACACCAGGACCTCACCAGACACACTTGTACCTTTTCCCCAGATTCTGTAAGTCAACAGGACATAGTTAAATGAATACAATCATGGATGTTACAGAGTGTGAGCATTTACATTATCTGGAAAAGCTGAATATAAAATTAATATTTTATCAACACAAATGATACCTCAGACGTGTCTTTATGCTGCAGTCAATGATCATCTTGGAAACTTAAAACCGTTTCTTTAGATAAATATTAGTGGCATTTTTTCTCTCTCCCCCCGTCCTTCCTCACTAAAAGAATTGCTTCATTGTCTTGAAAGCTACACCCAGTTCTGCGGAATCTTTGTAACCACTTATTTTAAAATTCTGAAAATGTTAAAATGTAACTGATTTTGTTGACCTTAGGAAGAAGCAGGTGACTCTCCCCAGACACTATCCTGTTTAACCCTTTGTGAAACTGGTGCGGAGGGAACGTGACAAAGGTGACCCATACCCGTTCCCACGAGGAGGCTCCAGGTGCTGTTCGGACAGACCTGCAGCGCAGACATTACAACCCCAAACTGCAAGTCTCCAAAACGTGCCAGAAGAAAATGTGTCTCCAATGTATTTTTCTTGTTCTACTTTTTAATTGTCAATTATAACAAAGATTATTTTATTATTATTATTTTTTATCCTCACCCGAGGACATTTTTGCATTTATCTTCAGATAGAGCGGGAGGTAGAGAGGGAGGAAGAGAGAGAAACATCGACGTGAAGGGACACATCGAGTGGCTGCCACCCACACGACCAACCAGGGCCGGGGACAAACTGCAACCGAGGTACGTGCCCTTAGCGGGAACCGAACCCTGGTCTCCCTGGTCCACAGGCTGACACTCTAACCGCTGACCCAAACCGGCCAGGGCAAAAACATGTTTATTTTAAATGTTTAAGTTATTGCTTTCTTATAATACATGTGCTAGGTGATAGTTATTTTCTCAATCATTTTAGTCTTTATCTGTCGCTTTGCACATTTTTGTTATGCAATATTCCAAATTTTACTATATATTTAAATCTTTCTGTTTATTTGAAATGACTGACTTACATTTGTAACACGGAAGGAAAAAATTATAGTATTGCAAAAAAGATGGTCTTTGTTGGTGTGCTTTGATTCTCTTCTCTTTATCTTTTTAAAATATATATAGTTTTAGATTTATTTTTTACTTAGAGTTGGTACACAGTCTTCTATTGGTTATATTAGTTTTAGGCGTACAATGTTAGAAATTTTTATATCTACCATGTGATACCCCTTATTCTAGTGCTCATCTCTCACTGTGCAAACTTAACACTGTTTCTGACCAGACCCCCCTCCCTTCTCATTAACCTCCCCAACCCCTCCGGTCTGCTCCCCATTCCTTTGGTCTCTGCTTCTATGAATCTGTTTTTATTTTGTTTGTTTGTTTTGTTTTCAGGTTCCACGTATGAGTGAAATTACATGGTGTTTGTCTTTCTCTGCCTGACGTATTTCACTGAGCATTATACCCTGATCCATCCACGTTGTCGCACACTGTACCCTCTATGGAAGACAGCACAGAGATCCCTCAATACGGCATATATCTCAGCAATCTGACTTCTGGGTATGCACACAAAGGACACTGATTGGAAAGATGGGTCCCCCCGTGCTCAGTGCAGAATAATTCACCACAGCCGAGAAATGGATGCAACGCAGGTGTCCATCAGTAGATGACGGGTGAAGAAGAGCTGATGGTTCTAGACAGCGGGGCGTTATGCATCAGTCAAAAGAATACAATCTTGCCATTTGTGACAACACAAATGGATCAGCAAATATTAGATTTTTATTATGAACATTATAAACATCATCCTATACACCAAAACGTTGTGGGTTCGATTCCTGGTCAGGACGCACACCTAGGTGGCAGGTTTGCTGTCTCATCAGGGTGTGTGCAGGAGGCCACCTGATCGATGTTCTCTCTCACACTGATGTTTTGTGATCTCTCTCCCTCCCTCTCTCTCTAAATCAAGAAACACATCCTCAGGAGGGTCATGGAAAAAACACGGCTGTTTTAATGTCACCTAACATTTTTCTGGCTTTCTCAGTTTACTGCATAGATATAATGGTTTTTGAAAGAGAAGACAGATGGAGAGAGAGTGAGAGAAACATTGATCGGTTGCCTCCCACAAGCACCCCATCTCGGGGTCGAACCTGAGACCTGATATGTGCCGTCCCTAGGAATCGAACCCATGACCTTTTGCTGTGCCGGAGGACGCTCCAACACACTGAACCACCCGGCCAGGCCTGCACAGATATAGTTTTGCTCCTGTTTTAGCAAAGAAGAATTGTTGTGTTTCTAAGGAAAACGTTTACTTCTAAATGATGTGCGTATTTCGAAGGTGTTTCCTTCATGTAAAACCTGCTCATTAAAGGGCTTATTTGAGCCGGGCCGGGGTGGCTCAGTTGGTCGAGGTGCCGTTCTGTGCACCATAAGGCTGCAGTTCAATTCCCAATCAGGGCACACACCTGGGCTGCAGGTTCGATCCCCAGTCAGGGAGCATACGGAAGGCAACTGGCCAATGTTTCTCTTTCTCTCCCTCTCTTCTCCTCTCTCTCTCTCTCTCTCGCTCTCTCTCCCTCGCTCTCCCTTCCATTCTCTAAGCATGCCATGGGGTGAGGATTAAAAATAAATAAATAAAAGGCTTATTTTAAATTTTATAATTTAGTAACTAAGCAGAGTTTTTCTCTCATTTTTGGCGGTATCTGACTTTATTTCATACACAGGATCATTCTTTACGTAGAAGATCATCTGAGGATAACTCTGAAGTTCTACAGTAGTCGATGAGACTTTTAGCACATACAGGGTGGGGCCAATGTAGGATTATCATTGTGAGTATGCGCAACACGGAATTTATTCTTGGGTTATTATTTATCAATTATTGTATTATTTTCCACACGGACAACTGTTAACCTACCCTTGCCCACCCTGTGTACAGAGAAAGTATAAGCTCCTTTTTAGACAGTGCTGTTTTGTTTTTTTCTATTCTACGACGAACTTTACTACTGATTCAGTAATAACGATCAGCCCTTTTCTAAGCTGTGTTTGCAACTCAGTTTGTAGCGAGACGTAGGAAACTAGAAACCGAGTGGATAAGGAGAACTCCGAGTAATTTATGCACTAAATTTGGGGCATCGATGTGGATCTGTTTTGCCAGCAAACAATTCTGAGAGGAAAAGAGGAAGAGGCAAGGAGTGTACTGACTGATTTGTCCTAATTATTTATCAAAGTAAATGGTGAAATGTCCATCCGTCTGAAGAACAGGAGAGATGGATGGAAAGCATCCATGATGGGTCCTTCAGGCCCAGGGACCGCATGGTCTTTGTGGTCGGTATTTCGCTTCCTTTTTTTTTTTTTTTTTGCCCTGCATAAAACACTAGCTTGATCTTTCAGATTGTGGGTGTTCTACAAATTAAAATGGACTACAGTCTCTGCTAGGATGCATTTTCAATGCAACAGAATATTCCAGAAGAGTTGTGATTTAATATCTGATTCCCAGAGAGAAGATAAAACCCACTGAAAGTGAAAGATTAAAAATAGAAAGTCATCTATCGTGTCTACTCAAAACGTCCCTACGTCCCAGTACTCATACCGTCTAAGTCAAAAGGGGAAATCTTGGAAATAAATTCCATTGTTTTTGCCTTTCTGAAACATATTAATCGATAGGCGTGTGTATATTTTAATTCTAATTGGACATTTCTTTGATTTTTGTCAAGGTTTCTTGAGCACGCCGCCTCTGGGGACGGCCGGGCCGCGCCCGTACCTTCCGACACAGGGTGGTAGTCTTCTCCGGAGGTGGCCGAGCCGTCCTTGGTGTGGACTCGCACGAGGGAGACCCTGGACGTGTCTCCCTGGCGGATCACGGGGATCTTGATAACCGCCGACTGACCGGGTTCTTTAGGTTCACTTATGCTGAACTTGGTTTCTCCGAATTTAATAATCGTCTCTAAAATTGTGGGAAAGAGATTATTTGTAAGGAGAAGGCTTTTTCCTCATTTCTAATGTTTCTTTCCATGTGGCAGGAGCTTAATTACTAGGACCCTTCTGTCTACTCTGTTCCCTGACCCAGTAGTACCGGCGACCGTCCTACTAGTAGTACTGGGTCAGGAGCACCTGGCCCCAGGTGGCCCCCCGCTTCCTTAGGGGTTGCGTTCCCAGAGAGCATGGGCTCTGGGCGTCTCTACGGCCCCGACTTTGTGGGAGCAGGTGACTGAGAGGGGGAGGGGAGGAAGGAAAGGCTGGCCCAGGACTCCCTGCACCCCAGGGTGTGTCAGGGAAAGAGGGGACCTATGAATGTTTGGGATTCGGTATTTAGATAAAAATCCTATTCCTCCGCATCAGCTTTCAGAGGTAATGGTTTATTTCATTCGGGGTTTTCTCAGTTCTCATGGGCTTTGAAAGCCTCCTCGAAAAGAGGGGTTGTTTCCTGTGCTCCCTAAGATTTTCCCGTAGACAGATTTCGGTTCCCCCTCGAAAGCTGTGCACAAGCAATGACTCCTTACTGTCAGCATCATCTTGGATCCGTATCAGAGTTTCATTCTGTTCCCCGATGGCAGCCCCAAAGGGAGAGTTGCTTTGCGGGGAGCCGAGGACCAGGCGGAGCTCCTCGACCTCCTCGTGCACCGCGTCGTCCATCAGCTGCAGGACACAGGGCTGTTCGGCCTCACCTGGAACAGTGACAGCAGGTGCATCACACACCACAGGCCTCACAGACGTCACGATCAGAATAGGAGCACCCCAAGGCCAAGGACACTGCCTTCTTGCTTTGTCGGCAGGGCCAGGAACAGCGTCTGCCATGCAACAAGCCTTGAGCAACTGTTTGTTGACTGAATGATGATGTGTTCATTCACTGCAACAACAGTCACTGCTTGAACAGGGGGTTCCTTTCACACCGTCTTCAAGTCCTGGCCCTCAGACCACGAGGGGAGAAGAGAAAATGCCAACTCTGTTTACGAATTTCTAGCAGTATAATCAAGAGACACATTTAGCAGCCTTGTACAGGTTGGCCATTATTATTATTATTATTATTATTATTCTCATCTTTATTGTTGAATGTATTACAGATATTCCCCCCTTTTTTCCCCATCGACCCCCTTCTCTCCAATCCACCCCCCTCCAGCCTTCCCCACACAATTGTCAGTGTCCATTGGTCGTGCACATATGCATGGAAGTTCCTTGGTTTATCTCATCCCTCCCTCCGTCTCCCCTTCCCTTTGAGGTTCATCAGTCTAACAACGGATATTTACTTCTTAATTCCTTCATCTTTTTCACCCAGCCCCCCAACTCCCTCCCATCTGGCAACCAACAAAAAGACCTCTGTATCTATGAGCCTGTTTCTGTTCTGCTAGCTCATTCTGTTTGTGGATTCAATTATGGATAGATATGTATTTATTGCCATTTTATTGTTCATGTTTTGTTCTTCTTCTCCTTCAAGAAGACCCTTCAACATTTCATATAATAATGGTTTGGTGGAGACGAACTCCTTTAGCTTTTTCTTGTCTGGGAAACTCTTGATATGTCTATCGATTCTAAATGATAGCTTTGCAGGATAGAGTAATCTTGGTGGTAGGTTGGCCATTATTAATTTGAACACAGTGCTAGTTTCTAGAACAATTACTAGATCAAACTGATCAGATATTTTAAGGCTCCAGATACATATTAAACATCTGACATCAACTCCTTTCCATTCTGTTATTTGAACATTAAGTATCTCCTAGCATCGTAAAATGTACACATATACTCACCCCCGAATACATTTTAAATAAACAATAAAACAAATCACTGGAAAGGAATCAATCAGTTGATACAAAAACCAAAAGGACATTCACTCAACCTATTACAGTCTGCTTCACTTTGTTACCTTGTAGTGCACAGAAAATCCTGTCCTAAGGTTGTTGAAATCGAGAATTTCTGTCTCTGATATGTATCACCCGCTAAAACGTGGCCTGCTAAAATTCCAAATGCAAATGGCCAGCTCAGACGCACCCGGGAGGAACGTGATGACGGAGAGGTCGGTGTTGGGGCGCTCCTCGAAGTCCACCATCACCTGCGCGGAGCCCTGCCGCGTGTAGCATCGCACCGAGGACTTGAGCTGCAGATCCCCGCTCCTGTGGATCACCGCCGCCACCCGCCCGTCGTTTTCATTGACAGTGTAGACGCCTTCCTGGAACTGCATCTTAGGCACTGAAGACACAAATAAACACAAGGATCCAAGTGAACAGACGCTTCCTGAGCGAAGGGGCACCAGCCCAACCGTCCCGAGAGGTCGGAACCGGTCTCCACACAGTCCCTCGCCCGTGTTCTGGCCTCGGGAAAATGACTAAACATTAAACGTGTTGATTTCCTCATCTTTGAAATTTGCTCTGCCAGTAGGGAGATGCAATACAATGTTCAGAATGGAATAAAACCAGATATTTTAAGATATTTTTATCTGTATATATTGCTTAATCATGAGTTTCTCAGAATTTCTTTCTTTTTTTTCTTTATTGATTTTAGAGAAAGAGGAAGAGAGAGGGAGAGAGAGATAGCAACCTCGATGAGAGAGAACATCGACTGACCGCCTCCTGCACGCCCCCCTCTGGGAATCGGGCCCACAACCTGGGCATGTGCCCTGACCGGGAATCCAACTGGCGACCTCTTGCTGCAGGATCGACGCTCAACCACTGAGCCACACCGGCCGGGTTCAGAATTTCTTGATATGAATACCACTAAATATTGTGCCCATTAATCACAAGCATAGTTTACCCAGATCATGTTGGAAAAGTTGACAGTGAGTATAATGTTACACATCTGTGAAATACCTAGATGACAGCTACACTATGTCAACTAAATACAGGTCTCAGTGACAGTAGATGAGACTGCTCAAAGGAACATAATGATCATGGTGGAAGATGATTCAGAATGCCCTTGTGACGAGGTGTGCACGGGCCATGCCATGTGTCCAAAAGCCCCTTGTCCCAGAGCAAAGTGTTTGGCCCATCCTCAGGAAAATTTCAGGACTGGCTGAGTATGAGGAGATGACAGATGTGTCTTAGGTTGGGAAGTGGGAAAAGACCATCGACACTCAGCATCCGTGCAACCCTACATGATTCTCTCACTGTGATGAGGGAATTCTTTTTTAATTAAAAATTTCCAATCATAGATGACAGTTAATATTACTGACTACATTCCCTGAGATGTACTTCAGATTCCCTTGCCTACTTTGTAACGACAAATTTGTACTGATTAAACACTTCCCTTTATCACCCAACCTCAACCGCTCTATTCTGGAGACCGCCAGCTTGTTCTTCGTGTCCATGAGTTCATCTCCACTTTGTTTATTTTGTTTTCTTGATTCCAAATACAAATGAACTCATATGGTGTTTGTCTCTCTGTCTGATTTATTACACTTCGCATAATACCATCCATGGTGTCACAAATGGCAAGATTTCATTCTTTTATTATGGCCAAGTAATATTTTATTGTATATGTATATAATTTTTTATCCAGTTGTCTATTAATGGACAGATAGGTTGCTTCCATATCATGGCTATTGTACACAATGCTGTAATGAACACAAGAATGCAGATGTCTTTTCAAATTAGTGTTTTACATTTCTACACGCAGATGTGGGGTTGTTAAGTCATAAGGTAGTTCTATTTTTACATTCTTGAGGAACCTCCATACTGCTTCTCATAGTGGCAACATCAACGGGCAACCCCATCAATAGTGCACAGAGATCTTCGCTTTTCCACGTCCTTGCAACACATGTTATTAGTTGATTTATTGACAACGGCTATTCTGACACGTGTGAGATGATACCTCATTTTGGATTTAATTTGCATCTCTCTGATAATTAGTAATGTTGTCCAACTTTGCATGTCTATGGGTCATCTGCATGTCCTCTTTGGAGAAATGTCTATTCAGGGACTCTGCCCATTTGCTAATTGTTTTATATTTTGGTGTTGAGTTGTATGAGTTCTTTATATATTTTGGACATTAACCCATTATAAATGTATCATTGGTGAATATCTTCTCCCATTTATTAGTTTTTCTTTGTTTTGTACATGGTTTTCTCCACTGTGCAAAAATGTTTTAGTGTGATGTAGTTTCATTTGTGTCTTTTGTTTCTCTTACCCCAGGAAACATATTTAAAAAATATATATATATGACTAAACATGATGCCAAAGAGTTTACTGCAATCTTTTCTTCTAGTAGTTTTATGGTTTCAAGTCTTATATTTAAGTCTTGAATCCATGTTGAGCTTCTTGTTGTACATGATATAAAAAGATGGTCCAGTTTCGTTTTTTGCATGTATGTATTCAATTTGCTGTTTTATTACTATAGTCTTATAGTATGGATTGACATCAGGTAGAGTAATACCACCAACTTTGTTCTTCTTTCTCAAGATTGCTATGGCTATTCAGAACCATTTGTGGTTGCATATAAATGTGTGGATTATTTGTTCTAGTTCTGTGAAAATACTCTATTGATATTTTAATAAAAATTGCATTGAATCTATAGATTGCTTTGGGTAGTATGGACATTTTAGTAATGTCAATTCTTCCAATCCATGAACATGGTATATGCTTCCATTAATTTGTGTCTTCCTTAATTTCTTTTTTAATTGTCTTATAATTTTGCAAGTACAGGTCTTTTACCTCCTTTGTTAGATTTATGAAATTCTAAATGGAATTGTTTTCTTAGTTTCTCTTTTTTATACTTCCTTACAGGTGTATAAAAATGCAACCAATTTCTGAATATTTATTTTATATCCTGCTACTTTATTAAATTCATTGATCAGTTCTAGTAGTTTTGGGTGAAATCTTTAGGGTTTTCTATCTATGGCATCTGCAAATAGTGCGAGTTTTACTTGTTTCCATTTGGAAGACTTAAAAAGATTATTTTTTCTGTATTGATTTTTAGAGAGAGAGAGTGGAATGAGAGGGAGAGACAGAAACATTGGTGAGAGAGAACATCAATTGGTCACTTCCAGCACACCCCCTGACTGAGGATTTGGCCCACAATCTAGGCAGGTGCCCCAACTGGGCATCGAACCGGTGACCTCTAGGTGCATGGGTCAATGCTCAACCACTGAGCCACACTGGCCAGGCTTGGAAGACTTTTATTTCTCCCTTTTGTCTTCTTGCTGTGGTGAGAACTTCCAGTACTATGTTGAATAGCAAGAGTGAGAGTGGACATCCCTGTCTTGTTCCTGATCTTAAGGGAAATTATTTTAGTTTTTCCCCATTGAATATAATTTTAGCTGTGGGTTTGTCATATAGGCCTTATTATATTGAGGCATGGTCTCTCAATTCCCACTTTGGGGTGTCAATTGTGGAGCTCATTGGGTGGTGCCAGCCACCAGGTACGTGGGTTGTGGTCCCTCTTTGAAAAAGCTCCGGTGCAGGCCAAGATCAGCCACCGTCTGTGCTTTGTTTGGGACCACTTGGTAGGAGCCACAAGGTGATCTGTGGTCGGCTTCTGCCTGTGCTGGGTTTGGGGACACCAGGAACGGTTATGCTGTAAACTGAAGCTGGCAGTCACTAGTGCTGGACTTGGGTCCTCTTGGCAAGGGGTACAGGGCACACTGAGGCCAGATGCTGCTTTTTGAGGACCTGCAGACCTTTGCGAGATATTAGAAGTGCCCAAGCTGACCATTTACATGGAACAGCTGCTGAAGGAGGTTAAGGCCTGGGGCGGGAGCTGGCTGGGGCGGGTTCTCAGGGAGTCATCGGGTGGGGCAAGGAGTAATAACCAGATTAACAGAGAATCGAATCCGACGCCCACCTGCTGGCGTGCGACTGGCGGTCTCAACCAGGGAACAAGGTGCCCGCTAGCTCTTCCGCCGGCACCTGCAGGCTGGGCGGGAGAGGCTGACCATACAGAACCACACGACCAGCACTTCGGTCCCGGGGAGAGCAGCCCGTCCACCCGGCGCCGAAGCCGGGCAGTTCGCTTCCTCCCTGTGTGTCCCTGGAGCTCTTCAAGGTGCTGTCCCTTCACCGGAGTGCAGGGTGGTTCTGATGAGCACCTCTGTGCTCTGGCCCTTGAAGGGATGCCTTGGTCTACGAAAGCCTCCTGGTGCTGGCCAGAGGCCCAGCTGATGCCCACAGCTGGATGTTGTGGGGACGCCTTTTCCTGGCCCTGCTGCTCGGGGCCGGGGAGCCTGGGGGGACCAGGTCCCCTCAGTCCTCAGCAACACAGACATCCCACCTAATTCTTCGTGCCGCGCGTGGGGCGGGACCAGCTCTTGTCACATCTCTTCCTCTTTACATCCTCAGTCATCACACTCCTGACATCGGCCGTCAGGTGGTTCCGAGGGTGGCTGTCCTGTAACTTAGTTGTACTTTTTATGGGAGGAGATTAGCATATGTTCACCTGCTCTGCTATCTCCACCAGAAGTCTGTGATGAGGTAATTCTTCAGACGGAGTCAAGTTATTGAATGCAATACAACATCTTTTTTTTTTTTAAATTTGAGAGGAAGATAAAATTTTGTTTGTATTTGACAGTCTAATTCTAATACTCGTTAGTAGAAGAAAGGAAGACAGAAATAGCTAGGATATTATTACATGGTGAATTATTTCCCCCCCAAATTCATTGTCTGAAGTCCTACCCTCCAGGATGAGACTGTGACTTTATCTGCAGATAGGGTCTCTGCAGAGGCGATCAAGGAAAAATGAGGTCACTAGGGTGGACCCTATTCAATATAACTTGTACCATTCTACAAAGGGAAAATTAAAAAAATATCCTTACGCAAGGACATGCTCAGAGAGAGGAGTAAGGGAGAGAGAAACATTGATTTAAGAGAGCAAGCCCGATGTGAGAGAGAAACACGATCCAATGGGCCTCTCTAATGGGCCCTAATAAGGGTCAACTTGACAGGGACACATAGAGATGAGGCAGAGACACAGGAGGACGATGGCCGTGTACAAGCCTGGGAGGAGGCCTCAGACGGCCCTTCCCCTCAGCCCCCTGGCGACACCTGCCCTGGCGACACCCGCCCTTGGACTCCTAGCCCCAGAACCGGGCACAAGGTGCTTCTGAGCCTGCAGTGCTTCGTCAGGGCAGCTCTCGCAAGCTCATACCGACACATACACCGCAGTTCATGTCAGAGTTAACGTTTACATAGCTCCAGCTGCTCCCTCTCCTTACTGTAGGTCACCGAACACTCACAGTCCGAGACAGAGTCGTCTATGGACACCGTGGCCTTGCTGGGCTCGCCGACGGCCGCGTTCACAGGCATGCGCAGGACCAGCTGCAGCTTCTCGACGCCCTCGAGCACCGGCCGGCCGAGGTCGTCCAGAATGACCACGCGGACAGGCTGCACGTGGACTCCAGGTGCAAAGTCTAAATTCCGGCTGATGCCCACGTAGTCTGTGCCAGCTGCGAAAGTCACAGAGGATGAGTCGGCGGGGGACTCCGGGAGTTTACACGGAATTGTGGTGAGAGAATCACGCAGGTATAAGCACAACTGTTTCAAAAAACAGAGACTAGCACAGCCTTGCAGGAGAATGCGTTTACTGAAGTACGAAAGGTTAGTATCCACACCGGTCACTGCGGTGGCAAATCGAATGTCACGTTCTGAACTTTGTTTTATCTATGTCTAAGGTGTCACTTTAGCTTTAGTTACTTTTGCTTCATGTCTTATAGTTTCTCAACCTTATTTTGTAATTCTAAAAGGGAGCTAATAAAAATGAGGTCTAAAATCAGTAGTATATTGCCCTGGCCGGTTTGGCTCAGCGGTTAGAGCGTTGGCCTGCGGTCCAGAGAGACCCAGGTTCGGTTCCCACTAAGGGCATGTACCTCGGTTACAGTTTGTCCCCAGCCCTGGTTGGGTCGTGTGGGTGGCAACCACTTGATGTGTCCCTTTCACATCGATGTTTCTCTCTCTCTCTTCCTCTCTCTCCCTCCCACTCGATCTGATCAAAAAACAAAAAAACGTCCTCGGGTGAGGATAAAAAAAAAATAATGAAATCAGTACTATATCAATCGAACATGATTATTAGCAATGATATATGAAATAAATACATTCATTTAAATTTTGTTAAAATTAGTTGAGTGCCATAATGTCTTTGTGTGAGCTACTAGAGAACATATTCTTCAGGTGGTGGCTGCCTGCTGGTCAAAGTGACACATTTCAGATATGAGCTTCTGTCCCACACTCTCCACCCACACCCCCCCGGTGAGGAGAGCCATCCATTATTCCCAAAGACACACACGGCTTATTATTTTTCAGACCATTGGATCCATAACCTCACATCTCCATTTATGTCTAATGTAGTTAAAAACAGAACTTTCTTTTAATCTTTAGGCATTACATCTATACAGACTAAGAGTGGAGGCCGACAGTTCAGCGTCATTCCTTTTCTGTTTGTATAACTTCTGCCCTCACTTTGTGTCTACTGTACCTCTGAATCTGCAACTGTATTTGAATGTACAGGTCTGTAATTCATTTGATAAAATCTTTGTAGGTGAATCCATGTGGTTCTTATATACTTTTTCTCTGCTTCTTCACCTTTATCTTCATCCCTATCTTTGATTTGAATTTTCTCTTATGAAATAACTAACTGGGCGAAACCAATGTTTCTTGGACAAGGACTGTATGAAAAGCACTATTCCAGTTCTATTACATTCAAGTCGTTAAAATGTAAGGGTGACTTTGTACAGGGATAGCCCCGGCTTGCTTTGAGTGATGGATGTGTAATGTATGCATGAGGCACACGTGTGTGCATGTGAGAAAAGAGAGAGTGTGTACTACTGGTAATTTAGCAGGGAAAAAAAAAGGAAAATGTCTAACCCTAGGCTCGCCTTAAACTCTATGGTCAACATTTTGGAGCCGTAGATTCCAGAACAGAAATCAGGCACATGCCAGCCAGCTTCAGTGACAGAGTAGGGAGAGTCCTTTGAATCTGAAGCATCTATGGAGACATTCTTTCAAACGGAGGCAGAAGCCACACTGGAGACGCATACCTGCATGATATTTGTTTTTTTAATTTTATTTTTTATCCTCACCCGAGGACATTTTTTTTTTTTCCATTTATCTTTAGACAGAGCAGGAGGAAGAGAGAGAAAGAAACATCGATGTGAGAGAGACACATCGACAGGTTGCCACCCACACGACCCCAACCAGGGCCGGGGACAAACTGCAACCGAGGTACGTGCCCTTAGTGGGAACCAAACCCGGGTCTCTCTGGTCTGTGGGCCGACACTCTAACTGCTGAGCCAAACTGGCCAGGGCTCAAATGTCATGAGATTTTGTGCAGGTGGCCAGCATGATTGTTCTTATACATTCACTGTCCTAATATTCAACAGTGTTAGATTTGCCAAGTATAGAGAACAAATTCATGCAAATATAGTCATTGGACTTAGTCTTTGACTGATGTTTTTAGCTTAGCCTCTGATTCACGGCCCTTCAGTGTCTTTTCTCACAGTAATAGATAGAGCGTTGATTTACCTACCGTATGGTAATCATTTCAGAAAAAATCATTCCAACCAGACCACTTTAACAGAAGGAAAGTATTTTAGCGTCCAGGGACTCTGCGTCAAGGTGAGTTGAAAGTTGTAGGACGATCAAAGGGTTCATCTAGAAAGACGCTCACCACTGGCGGATGGAGGGTCCGTTTTCTGGGACCTCAAGGTGACGCTGGATGGCCCGGACAGGTCCGTGCCTGTCCTCCACACCTGCACTTCCACGTAGCCGGCACTCTCGTCCACAGAGTACTCGGCGGCCCCGAAGTAGAAGACGGGCTCTGTTAGGACAAAACAGACCATTTCTCTTCTCATTTTCTACGTCAGACTCCACTGACATGACTGCAAAGCAGAGTGAACTCCATCATCCTGACTTCTTTACGTCATCACATATTTTCCTTTTTAGTAAGCTATCATCTCTAGTCTGCAGAGTTATGTAGTTTTCAGGCCAAAAGGCTTCTGTTGAAAAGCAAAAGTATGTGTGGTAAAGGGCCCCATGGAACATTCTCATCTTGAGGCGTGAGTTACCTGGTCCCCCATGTAAACGGCTCCTCAGTGCACTTCCTGGACGTTTAGCTGGTGCAACAGAACCGCAATGAAACAAAACACCTAAGGCTGCAATTTTATGAGTTTGGCCCCACTGTTCATTTTACCACCTCCTGCCAAGCCCTTACTCTGGAGACTATTTGCATTATGACATCTTCTGTTACATTTGATTTGGCCTTTATCCAGCACATTGGGATGTGTAATGGCTACTACAGAGCTAGCACCTGTTGGTGTGACTACCCTAATGTACTACATGATTACCAGGGTGGGGGATTGCAGGGAGACCAGGATGTAATTGTAGGTTACGGGGGTGTCCTATACCAACTGAGGTTCCAGCAGAGAATCTCATACCAAGGGTTTTGCACTTGTCTTAAGCATGAATGAAAATAATTGACCTAGGTCGTTAAAGTAAAACACATGCTTCAGAGACTGCATTTTTTCTCGTTTTGGTGATGGATTAGTCTAATAATCGTTTTCTGTCTGATTCCACTGGAGACCAACAGTCTACCTCGTGAGAGAGCGGCCAGGAAGCTGAGGTGAAGCAGTCAGTTGACTAATAAAGAAAACTGACCAATACTTTGTGAACTCCCTTGAAAAAGCGTAGTTGAAATATTTAGTCTCATAGGAAGTCACAACAATGGTACAAACGTCACCCGTGTTGAAATATTTAGTCTCATAGGAAGTCACAACAATGGTACAAACATCACCCGCGAAGACATTATTGTATATGTATCCATTAACAAAGATACATTAACTGAGTGTACACACAAGGTGCTGAATAGCTCTTCGACTTGAAACATTTTATTCATGTGTCTGATTTTACAAGACTCATGTGGACTGAGTTGAAACCGTCATGCAACTCGCATCAGTGTTCCTTAAGACACAAGGCCATCAAAGAGAGGACCATCACGTTTTAGATCATCTACCTGAATTACCAAACACACAAGATCAAGCAAAACCCTACCATGGTCCACTATCACAGGAAACCCATTCTGTGCACTGTTCACGTTGAGTGAGAATTCTTTACTTTCCTGCCTCCAAATAAATTGACTTTATTAAAACTGGAAAATTGTGTTTTATATATATATGAATATATATATGTGAATATATATATATATATATATATATATATATATAGAGAGAGAGAGAGAGAGAGAGAGAGAGAATGATAAAAAGCATGCAACTCCCCTAAACTTTTGAATAATACAAAACCGAACCTGGGCATTTTCCGTGCATATTTGGTTCACAGGGTGATAAATTGGCCTGTGCACACTCCTCCTGCTCCTCCCTGCAGCGTGGATGGCACCAGGACTTGTGAGTGTGCGTGTGCAGATTAAGGTGTTATCGTACCAACCTCAGTCAAGGCACAGCCTACACAAGCCAATACATTCCGCGCATTTCTCTCTCTAAGCGGGGGCAAAGGTGAAGGCGTGGCTCTGGAAATACCAGGCACATCTGTACGTCTTCAAAGGGCGCTCATAATTACGGCGAAACGCGATCATCTGCATCCAACGCATGATCTCTCTGCTTCCTCGCATTCCTGGCAAGTGGCACCATCACACACATCAGGTTTCTGGGTTTGGGGAGAGACCTGTGAGTTGCAGCGGAGAGTTGTGAGATGAGCCACGACGAGGGGCGGCTTCTGTCTAATGATGACACCTCCCACCTTCCGTCTCTCAGAGACCTGCTAGAAGTGGAACAGAGTGAAACAAGGTAGTGCCCGCGAGCCATTAAACAGCAAGCTGGGCTACACATCAGAGACAAAGTTGAGTTCTGTGTGTTCAGACTCATTCTGCCAACTACAGATCAAGTGTCTCAGTGTCATAGCGCCACAGTAATGGTAATAGTTACCCTATCTAGAACATCATCATCTGACTAGCAGGTGCTTCATGTGCATGTGTGCGTGCGTGTGTGTGTCTCAGAGACAGACAGGCGGAGAAGGGGAGAGGTGTGTGGGAACGGCACAGGTAACTGCGCTGAGTGATAGCGATGCTGTTGCAATCACCGGGTTACCAATGACCAGGGAAGGAGCCAGGGGGAGACGAGGTAACAGAGGCATGCCAATTACACGGTTTTGCCAGAATGCTGCAGTTTGACATTCTCCAAGTCTGTTCTCTGCAAACCGATGAGGGGAGGAACTGGACAGTCGCAGTTTAGACACTGGCGCAGTAAGGTCTGTGTGACGTGGGAAGATGCTCACCTGCCAGTCACACCTGGGAATGGATAACCGGCCGAGAGGCAGGGCCACAGCATGAGCCCTGAGCTACTCAGCTCCTGGGCAGAGGGGGTCTCTCCTGCTCCTGCCTGACTCGGCACGCGGAGCTCCCTTGCTCTGCAAACCAGCACAGCGGACTAGTGGGCTGTGGTTGGCTTGGGGCTACGCCAGACTCAACTCCACCATGACGGACAGTCCGGACACTGGCTTAGCTTCTTGCTCTGCTACAGCCCCAGCTGTGTGTCTTTTACGACTGGATAAGGGAGATGGGACTTCAGAAACTGAGGCACATAATTCCACACAAGTAAAGGTCACTCATTCTCCCATGAGAATCTTGGAAAGAAAATTCCTTTTTCTCAAGATATTGCGAGAGGCTGACCCCCCGGCACCCAGCGGGGAAAGGGACCCCGACTCCCTCTGGAGAACACACCACTCTCACCGACAACAATAGAGGCAGGTGCATGATGCAAACAATGTCACGATGTTGCCTATTAATTAGAACGTTGTTACCTCCAGCAGAAAGGAGGGGGGATGGATACGGTTCTAATCCCAAATCTCTGTTACGTTACAGCAGATAATAGGAGGCATTAAAAAAGATACTTCTTCAACATGAATTTTTAAATTGTCGGGAGATCTGCGTTTTTATGTGACTTCTCTTCCCTCTGTGCTCCATTCATGACGACTGGAGAATTGGTCTATTAATCAACTGAATCATTGCACTTAGAGCATAAAGTGATGAACTGTGATGAGATTAAAACACGATCCATTGTTTTTGTAAGAAAGACAGTTTTACCTACTGTTTCTGAGGAAATGCAGAGAGAAACGGCTAGACTATCGGCCCCTTCCTATCTTCTCCGTGTATTTGAATGAGAGCTGGAAAGCGTAATCATTATTACTATTTAAATTTCTCAACGCCTTTTCGAAAATGTCTAAAATTTCAACATTGTTTATAATTGTTCCTTTTGGGGGACGGAATCTCACGTAATATCAATAAGTTGAGAATCCTTCAAGCATGGGTTGAGTTACGGATATCTTTCAAGACAAATGGCAGCATATTCCGGGAACCTTTTAATTAGCACTCATCAGGTGAGAAGAGAAAAAGAGAAACTAATAAAGACTGTAAGCTGTTGAAGGGTACCGCTGCAGAACCCGTGAGGACTGCTGTTCTGGCGGATGACGCCAGGTTAGGAGCGGGCCGGTACCTCGCCTCTCTGATAACATTTCTGCTGCTGGCTCCTCCCCAGTCAGGGAAACTGTACCCCTCTTTGTTTTGGAAATACCCACATGGCAACTTCGAGTCAGTCAGAAGAGCCTACTTAATGTTACAATAAGATCTTAAATACACAGTGTATTTGTCAATTCACAGTCCTCTAGAGAACGCAGCCGGTGGCTGAATCTCATTATCTAGAATTTCTCAAATAACTAAAAAAAAGGCAATCTGCCCACAGCCACACCCACACAACCCTTGGGCAGTCATTCCTCACACTGCACCAGCCACAGGTGACGCCCGGAACGCACCGTCCCCCTGCAGAAGGCTCGTGGTGCTATGGCCTCTACGCGGCCGTACAGGTGAGTTAAACCCGCAGGTGCCCCGGGGAAGCTCCCAGGAGCCGGCCGAGCCCTCGGGTCCTTGCTGGTGCCGGTGCAGCACGCAGTCCAGGCACGTGTCACAGAACAGCACTGAGCAACGAAACATCAGCGTGATTCCAAGGCTGGGAGCTGTCGCCACAGGCAGCACAGGTAGGGTCACACATGCCTCCTGCAGGTGCACCGCGGAGGGGGTGCGAGGCCACCCCACGCACCTGCAGCGGAGGTGAAGGGGGACAGGTGACGCTTCTCCCCACGGGGAGAAAGTGAACTTGACGTTTTTGCCGAGTCCGAGATGTCTGGGTTGAAGTTTACAGTCACGCTGCGTCTCCCGAGATGAAAGGGAGAGGTGCCCCGTCGAAGCCCCCCGGGGGCCTGCCTCCCTCCCTCACAGGTTCGGCTAAGGTCGGGAGGCTGGTGGCTGTAACGTGTGCGTAGGAGGGAATGAGACCAACGCCTTCAGGCTGACTGTGGGCTCGGTGCTGAGACTAATGCAACGGAACCGCCTCCAATGCTCTCCAACTCAGACCTCGCTCCCGAGCGCATCTCAACGGCCGACTCAACCCTGTGACAAGGGGCCCTCAAGGCCAGCTTCCCCGGGTCCACGGTCACCTCCAGCCCCAGCTCCTCGGTTTCCCTCTCACTGCCTCTCACCTCAATTCAGCGTGTCGCCTGCCCTTTGAACTCCCCCGACAGCCACTCCGCCAGGCTGCTAAAGAGGCCAACCTCAGAGCAAGTGGCCTCATGGTGACCCCGCCACCGAAACCCTTGCACAGTTCCTCAGTGCTCCTAGCCCCGTTCACAGACTCCTTGTCGCCATTTATAAGAGGCCAAGACATCGGGTCTCAGTTTGCCCTTTAAATCCGTTTTAGCCCCCTTCCTGCTCCACAACAGTCCATGTCTTGAGCGTCTTAAACGCGTCGGTTCCAGTCA